CATTAGTATGAGTTTCTGCGGAGCACAGTGCCTTAGTGCTCACGCCCCACACCTTTTCATGTTTTTCAGGTCGTAGGGTCGGAGATGAGGAGTGAGTGGGCGAGCTGTTCAGGACATTTATGATTAATGTATTTATGTTTTTGCCACGCTAGACTTCCGCTAAAACTTTAAAGTACTTTTATCAGACTTGCTCCGACGTTAGTCGGATAAGACCTTATGACCGTTTTTATGTATCAGTTTAAATTTTAACGGTTTTCAGAAATTAAGTTTTTCACGGTAGCCCCCGAATCAGTTTCGCAAAATAAGAAGTTTATTTATATATTCAGAAAATTTGCGAAAAATCGCGTACTCTGATGTAATAGTAAGTCGGAGTGTTCAAGCTAAGATTGGTGAGATTTTTCTCCAAGTTCTACAAGTCCACCAAAGAAAACATTAGAGAGCTACAATTTATATTTCATGATGTTAAGGTATTTATATTTATTCACGCTTTTTATTATTGTAGTTGATGTTTATGTGTCAAAATAATAACTTGCTAACAATACAATTTTTTCTTTTTTAGGGTCAACGGATTCATGGTTCGGCATCCGGATTCTTGGCACAAAAATTCAAGGACTTTAACCTTATCGAAGGTGGTGTGTATGTTATTACAAGTTGGGACCTAAAGGAGGACAAGAGTGCATTCAAATTAAGCGAATCGAGCCACAAGTTCGAGCTTGGACAAGAGACGAAAATGTACGAGGTTATTGAAAACAACTACCCAAGGTTTTTGTTCAACTTCAAAGACTTCAAAGAACTATCCGACCCTCAAAGAATCGATTCTAATAAAATTTTTGGTAATTTTTTTTTCTCTTCATGGATTTAGGTATTATTTCTCTTTTGCTACAATGTATAAGGTTAAATTATATTTTTTAGTTGCTTAATTTTTTAGATTTGATTGGACGTATCGCTTTGGTTCAAAGCGTACGAACTACAAATTCAAATGGAGCGGAAAAGAAATTCATAGACGTGGTTCTATAAGATGTTGAGTAAGTTAAAGTTAATAAGCACTTTTTTTTTTTTTTTAAGTAATTACAAATTTGTTCCATATTAAAAAATAACTATCTATTATTTCGTAGGGGCTGCTTTTTGACTTGCACATTATAGGAAGAATATGTGCAAGTCATTGTTGATACTTTGAACAAAGATCCCGTGACTGACTTGCGTGTAATAATTGTGCAATTTTGCCGAGCGAAATCTTTTGATGATGGTACGTTATTAACATTGAATTAATTTATTTAATAACTTATAATTTATGTTGTTCTCTAAAAAATTTGTTCTCTTTTAGGATCTATAAAAGCTGGTAACATTTTTGATGCTACCAAGCTAATCATGGGTGATGTACCCGAAATTGTGGAATTCAAAGAAAGGTATTGATAATTATGTAGATATTATATACTTTCTTATATCATTATCATGGACTTGATCACTGAATTACTAATATTTACTTTTTCGAAATTTATTTGTTTAATTTAAAAATACAACTCGCACCCAAGGCCAAACGATTCATCATTCAAATACGTGAGGCCCTACATTTATAATGTTCGTGATGATTTGGAGTCGGGAATTTCTCCATTCAAAGGCTTAGCTGATTTTCTGAAAGCTAATGAGGTAAAAATGGTATTATTAAATAATTACTATTACTATAGTACATCTACGAATTTATTAATTAGTTTTCGTATCACTTATATGTTATATTACTTATTTCTTATTTTCAGGAAATTAATTTTTGGATATATGGAAACATCATTGCCGTATCGGACAATTGGTACTTCAAATCTTGCCCCAATTGTGTTCGGAAAGTGGAGCCGAAAGAAGATAAATTTTGGTGCAATTATTGCAAGGACTCGATTTCTTTTGCGATACTTAGGTATTTGTATTTCACATTTCATTATTATCGTTCATATTTATATGATATAATGATATATTATTTTTAAATTTTAAGGTACAAGCTCCATATTTCAATCGTGGACGACAATGGCATTGTACCACTTCTGTGTTGGGACAAAGTTGCTAGAGAATTAATTGGAAAGTCGTGCGAAGATGTTTTTAACGACATGTTGAAGGCATGCTCATTTATGTTTTCGTCTAAAAGCTCTAATGATCAAATTACATATCAAATTATTATTGTTCTTATGGTATATTCTATTATGCAGCAAGATGATGGAGCAATTTTGCCAAATGAGATTGAGCTTTTGAATGATAAAGCAATAATGTGTAAAGTATCAAAGAAGAAGGATCAATTTGGATCTTATAAGGGTCCATTTACGGTTTCTCGCATTACCGTTGATTCTATGTTGGATAAGTTTGGACCATTGGCAATTACTTCACAGGTTATTACCTTCATAAATTTTATATATAATATATAGAAATATTTTTCTTATTATTTCTAATTCATATTTTATAATTATGAAGGATTTTTTTTTTCCTTCCAAATGATAGATGATCTCATAAATAACAAAAAACAAGGAGAACATGGGAGCACCACTCAAGGTGGGCTAGAAAATAACCGGAAAAAACACAACGAGCTATAGACTAGACTATGGACAAAGTAGTCACAACAAACCGAGCCTTTGCCACAACAACCAACTAACAAAACAAAACTAAGAAAAAGCAGCTGAAACTACAGCAGGAACAAACAACTAAAAAAGGACAAAAAGAAAGACTAACCAAACAAAAATTAAAGCTGAAAAAACAAGAACAGAGCAACTAACTACAAACAAGGGAGACCAGTCCTGCTAGCCAGAAAACCCTGCCATTGCTGCAAAGCTATTTTAATCACCACAGGAGCTGGTCTTCTAGTACTCTCGAACAACCAAAGATTACGAGAATTCCAAAGCCACCAGAGGATGTAAGTGGACAGTTGGATGCGGGCTTCAGAAGTCTCACTGTGATCAAGTTGTAGAATTTGCCACCACAATGATTTGAAGGATTCTGCAGGACCAGGGCCCTCCCATCTGACTGGGGATTGTTTCCACACATCTTTTGCAAAACTGCAGTGAAAAATGACATGTTCAATAGTTTCTTCACACTCTCCACATTGAGGGCATATCACATCCACTAGCAAACCCCACTGATGTAGCTGAGAACCGACAGGGAGAGCACCATTGCAGCATCTCCAGATGAAGTGTTTAATTCTGCCCATTACTTTAATTTGCCAACTCCTTCTTCTGACTTTGAGATCAATAGTTAGGGCTAAGCTTCCTTGGGGTCTGCATAGCTTCAGGAACTTATCAGTGATAAGATGGGCATAAGTGGAATGAACAGAAAACATACCCTTCTTGTGAAGCCTCCATATCCACTCATCTTCTCTGTTGGGATCAATGGTGGCAATAGAAAGAATATCATTACTCCACTTCTTAGGGAAAAAGGCTTTCACTTTTGTAGCATCCCAGTTGGTTCCATCCACATTCAGTAAATCTCTGACCCATTTAAAGTTCCTATTAATGCCAGGAATCAATGCAACTTGTTGGCCAATTTTGGAAAGGATCCAGTGTCTATCCCAGATGAGAGTATTGCAGCCATTTTTGATCTCTACCTGCATCCACTTAGCACATGACTACAGGACTTTTGACCAACTATTCCAGAACCAAGAAGAGTTTTGCCTTCTATGTGAATCAAACAGTGAGGTGGTGGGAAAGTACTTAGCTTTGAGCACCCTGCTGACCAGTCTATGTGGCTCAGAAACTAGTTTCAAAAGTTGCTTAGCAATAAGGGCAGTGTTGAACAGCTGGATATCCTGGAATCCTAAACCACCATGCATTTTAGAGAGAGTTAATTGGTCGCAGCTAACCCAATGCACGCCTCTCTTATTTTCAGAGCCCTTATTCCACCAAAAATTACAGCAGGCTTGAGCAATTTCTTTGCATAAACCAATTGGGAGAATAAAAGTGGACATAGCAAACAAAGGGAGGGCATTTAAATTAGCTTTGATGAGCACCTCTTTCCCAGCTGTTGAGAGCCACTTGTTCTTCCAACTGAGAATTCTTTTCTTGACCACCTAGAGAATGAAATCAAAAGCATCCCTCTTGGATTTTCCAATTCCTAAAGGCAGGCCCAAGTACCTGGTTGAGGAGTGCTTTTTAATGCCTGAAAAAAGAGAACAGATGTTCCTCTGATTAGAATCTGGGGTATTCTTGTTAAAGAAGATGGTGGACTTCTCAAAATTGATTCTTTGGCCAGTGAAGCTATGGAAATCTTGAAGAATGTGCAGAAGTCTTCTGGTATGTGCCTCATCTGCTTTGCTGAATATGAGGGTATAATCCGCAAACATCAGATGAGTCAACATAGGCCCATATCTTGACACTCTGATCCCATTGAATCTACCTTCAGAGGCTTCCTTAGAGAGCTTGGCAGAGAGCAATTCAGAGATTAAAAGGAATAGATAAGGGGATAGAGGATCCTCTTGCCTAATTCCTCTGGAAGCAGTAATGTATCCACAGCTCTTGCCATTGAGATTAAATGAGAATGTGGGGTTAGAGATGCAGACCATAACCCATTGGACAAAGAGTCTATGGAAACCCATCCTAAGCATAGTGAGTTGCACCGCTTTCCACTCCACACAATCAGAAGCTTTCACCACATCCAATTTCAGAGCCATAAAGGAATTGTTACCACTCCTGTGTCTATTCAAGAAATGAAAAACCTCATGTCCTATCACAACATTATCCAATAACTGTCTCCCAGGGATAAAGGAATTTTGGTTTTCAGAGATACAAAGATGCAGACACTGTTTCAACCTTAGAGAAAGAATTTTAGAAATTAATTTATAAATGACTGCATAGAGGCTGATAGGCCTGAATTGGGTAATGGATACAGGATTGGCACATTTAGGAATAAGGGTGATTAAAGTATGCTTCCAGTAGCTGAGTAGTTGTTTAGAGTCAAAGAAACTCTGAACTTCCACACAAATATCCTTACACAGCAAAGGCCAGAAGTGTTGATAAAAGAGGCCAGTCATGCCATCTTCTCCAGGAGCCTTGTCAGGGTTGATACTGAAAACTGCATGCTTAATGGTCTCTTCATCCACATTGGCAGTGAGGATAACATTCATCTCTTCAGAAATTGAGTTGGGGATTATAGGAAGGAGATTCTGCCCATGCTGAGAACCTTGGGAGGTGAACAGATTACTGTAATAGCTGGTAATGATCAATTATGAAGGATTCAAATTGTGAAGTGTACAGCCCAATCAGGGATGTACAGACTGAAGTGAACAACCCAAAAATGGCTGTAGAGGCTGAAGTGCAAGTGAAGGTGAACAACCCAATATGGGTTGTAGATGATGAAGTGAAGGTGAACAGCCCAGTAAGGGCTGAAATTGCTGAAGGGTATAGCCCAATAAGGGCTGCAGATGTTGAAGGGTACAACCCAATAAGGGCTGAAAAAGCTAAGTTGTACAACCCAATCAGGGCCGTAAAGGTTGAGGTTTACAGCCCAAACAAGGCTGATAAGGCTGAAATGTACTGCCCACTCATGGCTGCTAATGGCTGCAAAGAAAAGATAAAGAAGAGGGAGGAAATTGAGCAATTTGGAGAAGGATCAAGTTGTTCAGAAGAGCCAACGGGGAAAAAGATAAGATGAAGAATTTTGAAGTTTTTAATTATGAGTTTCTATAATCTGCTCCCAGTTACATTGTTTTCCATTAATAATATATATGTTATCTAAGTTTTGGACGTTTGTGCTATTAAATAATTTTAAATTAGATTCAGACCTATTATTAAATCTTCTATCAGTATAATCACTATATTTGAACCTCAATGTACAGTATTAAATAACAAAAGCAGAGAATACAGCAAAACAACAACAGGTTTTATCTAATCAAAACAACAAAGCAACATAAACAGATAAGTTAATAAGCAAATAGCTTAATCAGATCATATCGGGCCTTTAAAAACATATAGTCATGCCTTTAAAAACTAAACCACATAAGGTTTTCAGTTTTAAGGGTTTCAGGGTTTAGGGTTTCAGTTGTAAGGGTATCAATTTTAAGAACAAAACCAGAATAAGTAATGTCATATAATCAAGCTTTCTAGCTGTTCAGAAGACCTATTTAAACATCCAAAGACAAACAAAACCAATAGGTCTGCAACATATAAACAGGCCTTTAACAATATCAGAATACCAGCAAAAAGAGCAAAACAACAAAAACAGCAGATAAACAAGCCTTTAACAATATCAGTTTTCTAAAGCAGATAACTTGCTCAGTATTTTCTACTTTAATCAAAACAGCAGAACAACAAAAACAGATAACTTAGTAAGCAAATAACTTAATCAAATCATATAACTTGATAAATATTTTCTACTCTAATCAAAACAGCAAAACAACAAAAACAAATAACTTAATAAGCAAATAACTTAATCAGCTTATATCAGTTTTCTAAAGCTAAACCACTCAATCATGACTTTAACAATATCAGAATACATACAAGTGTTCAACATATAATAATTCCTTTATAAACAAAACCAGATAGTCATGCCTTTAACAATATCAGAATACAGTAACAACCATGATATAATTATTTCCTCAAAAACATAACCAATAATGTCAAGATAGAATGTCCATACACCAACACTTAATAACTAAGTTCAAAACATATCAACTATTGTTCATATATTTAATAGATTCAAGAATTCAAGTCAAAATCACTAAAATATCTAAGGGAATTAATGTGTTTTTAATTTCAGTCAATCACATAAATCATGATAAACTGATCATTTTATTACCACATTAACTAACATAAATAAACAAAATCGATCAGTTTAATTGAAATAATAAAATAAAATATATCAAATCAATCAACATTTACTACATTAACTCCTACTAAATGTATTGATTCATTTACCTAATATATAGATGACTAAATTTTTCTATATAAACCCATTTATCCTTTATTCATTATGTGTTTCCAAAAACAACATCCTATTATTCTACACATTAGTCTTGCATTTGTAACATCATTCTGTTTCAATCATTCTTCCACCATACTCATTTTATTTTTACCCAAAACACAAATCATGAAGAGGCTTAGCGGCTACAACATAATTGAAAACAAACGTCAAAAAAATGATGTTGGGCCATCAAATGGTACACACTGCGATTGTGTCATATGCCTAATATCACATTTGTTCAGAAGCCTTACCTTCTTTTGCTCTTACCTGTTAGAGGTATGCTGTAAAAGCTGTGTTTTGCAGTTTCTATCAATTCCATTTTGATCTGGAAATCATGTTTCGATCAAAG